GGTCTGGCACGGCGTTTGGTGTGGATTAGGTCTATGAGGTGTTGGGGTAAACTATTTTTCTTAGGGGATCTTGAGGAATGATTTGGAGAGGAAGCTGTCCATACTGCTTGTTGAATGGTGGTGGTGAAGGAATGTACGGCATTGTCAAGGTCTTCTGGGGTTTTCAAGGTTAATCTGAGGTCAATTTTATCGGAAATGATATGATAAAAGAGTTTCCAGTTAACTGGGCCTCTGATGAAAGACGGTGAATAGGGTTTAGGAATAGGAGCTAGAGATAATTGGAGTACTAATGGGCTATGATCTGAGGAAAGTTCGTCAAGTCGGGTAAAGGAATGATTGAGGGAACCTAAACCACTGTGAATAAAAAAATCGAGGATATCAGGATTGCGGTTAGGATCAGTTGGCCAGTAGGTAGATGAGTTGGGAGGAAGAAGGTTGAAACTTTGGGAATTGAATGCAGAAAGCGAGGATCTACCACGAGAATTTGTGGTTCTTGATCCCCATTCTTGATGCTTGGCGTTTAAGTCTGCACCCAGGATGAAGAGATGTCCTAAGGAGTTAAGGAAAGAACTGAACTGGTCATTGGATATGGATCTGTTAGGAGGGCAATATGCTGATGCTAAGGTGACGGGAAAGGAGAAAGTTTTTATTACAATGGCGGTGGATTGCACGAAATCTTTAGTAGGTAATGGGAGTAGGTGATGGGAGAGGGATTGGTGTACAATGACAGCAGTGCCGGAATGTCTCTCTCTACCACCAGGATGGTCAGTACGATATGTCAAGTATTGCGGTATTTTGAAGAGTTGTTTAGAGGTTAGTCGAGTTTCAGTAATTAGTACCACATCAATGTTCATGTCAAGCAGTAAAGTCGATAGTTCGTCTGTATGATTTCTAACACCATTCGCATTCCAAAGGAGAATGCATATGGGTTTTGAGATGTGAGTCATTTAAGGAGTTTTTAAAAGGGATGAGGTGAGATACGAGATTTGTGAGGAGTGATATGAGTGGAGTAACAAGGGATTTGAAATCGGTTAGGAAAGATGCTAACAAACTGGTGAGATCTGTTACATTTGAAGGAGGATGAATGTGATGAATTTGTTGTTGATGGTTAGGTAAATTATGATGAAGAGGATTTTAAAGTTAGGGTTGAGGTTGTTGTTGCGGCAGGGCTTGACATTTTTCGGTTAAATTCTTACCTCTAAGTAGTTGGGAGAATGATACATCATTGTTTACAATTTTAGAAGTCTCTCTCTCTCTTTCTCTCCCTCCCCCTCCCCCTCTCCCACCCTCTCTCTCTCTCTCTCTCTCTCTCTCTCTCTCTCTCTCTCTCTCTGGTCTTACTGCTTCATCTTGAATTTGATTTTTCTGGTGTCTGGTTTTGAGATTCTTGTAAATTTGGCAGCCTTTGTAGTTGGCCGGGTGTCCCTCCAAGCATAGGGCACACACTGCAGGATCTTGGATGGGTTTGGTGTACTATATAGATTTGTGCTGTTCGCCGCACTTCACGACAATATGTCTTCGTGTGGCCATAGGTCTGACAATTATGGCACTGCACGATGTCTCTCTTGGAGTATGGTTTCTCAACTTTCACCACTGTGTAGTATATTCTTGTGATGTCATATATTTTTTTGATAAGTGGTGATGGCTCCAAGTCTACGAAAAACAATGGTAGTGGGATTTTATTTCGTAACCCTGGCTGCTCCTTGTCCTTTAAAACGTTGGTTACCTGGCGTACATTGAAACCAAGCGTCGTTAGTTCTTCTTTAATCACTTCAGTTGGGGTTGAGGAGTGCGAATTTCTTATCACTACTCGTAACGCTCTCTCCTGCCTCAGTTGGTAAGTGTGAAAATTCGCATTTGTTTCTGATAAGTACTTCTCTATTTTTCGGTAGGCTTCAGCATAATCTGGTGTTATTGGTCCTGTTACGGCAAGAATAACTGCCAGAGCAGATTTTATTTAGTTGAGTGCAGAACAACTGGAAATTTTTCACAAATATCGGAGGAGGCCTTGGTTCTCTGTGCATTGCTGCAAACTCCATTACTTCTCGGTAATTTTGAAGCACTTGGTAGGGGTTTGGATTAAAGAAAGGGGAGTCTCATGCATTTGACAATAATAAGACATATTTGGACTTACGGAATTGAGCTTCGGGGCTCCACTAAACCATCGAATTCCTCCCGTATATAACCCTTACAATCCAAAATCCTTCTTAAAATCCTCAATGCTCCTTACTTTGTCACAAATATAATCATCCATAGAGACCTTAATAATAATAATAATAATAATGCTTTATTTATTCTAGCATGAGTCCCTTTAGAATAATACAGAAAGACAAAAATGTGGGCTAAGGAGCCTCAGAGATACATAAACAACAATATAATTAAAAAAGAATTTAATCAAATAGTCAAAATAAAATAAAAAAAAAAGAATAAAAGAAATTATAAGATACTTTCTAATTTAAACAGTTAATAATAAAAAATAAAAAATTTAAAATAAACCTGAAGTAAAAATAGTGAAGAACGATCTAATAATTTATATACATATTTACAGTAGTAACTATTTACAATTTTATGAGGACTGGATGGATAAGAAATGATTAAACATGCGGGATTTAAAGGTAGGAAGGGTTTTGGATTGACAGATGTGGGGAGGGATGGAGTTCCATAGGGATGAGGGTCGGATAATAAACGATCCGTCGAAAGCAGCAGTTCGGTGTGTCCTTATGTATAAATCACAAAACCAGAAACGAGTATTGTGGGAACGAACAGAGGATTTGAATTGAAGGAGCTTGGAGATCTATGAAGGACGGTGGGATTGGATGACTTGAAAAAGGAAGGATTCCAGGAAATACTTATGACGGTAGGAAGGATAAAGCCATTTCAACTCTGCATAAAAACGGTAAACAGAGGTGTCCCTTGGGATCCCGAAGATGAATCGTACAAAGCAATTTATCAAACGTTTTAATTTTGCCTTGAGATCCCCAGAGACGTCTCCATATACCACTAGCGGATCCAGGATTTAATTTTGGAGGGGGCTTCAGCCCGAAACTTTTTTTTTCATAAAAATAACGATAATTACTTTGGAAAAACAGAAAGAAACTAACTACCTATATGAAATGGTGTTTAAGTTATTTCTTAAGTACTTTTAAATGTAATTACACGAACAATAATACTTTAAAAGGTATTTTTTCCCATAAAACATGGTTATATTTTTCCATTTTGGGGGGGGGGGGCTTCAGCCCGAAAGCCCCCCCCCGTAGATCCGCCCGTGCCATATACCGTACTGCAATAGTCAAAGAGGAGAAAAATTAAGGAAGTTCTAGGACACTACTGGTTTTAAGGGGAAAAAGGTGACAAGAGTAATTTAGATGTTTTAAGGTGGAAATGGTACGGCGGGAGATGTTGGATATATGATTTTTTCAGGAAAGCGTTTGATCAAAGATCATTCCAAGGTTTTTGATGGAGGGATAGAATTTGATGGGATTACCATGTAGGAACAGAGTTGGAATACTAGGAACAGTTTTAAGGAAATGATTGGATCCTATTAAGATTGCCTTCGTCTTTTCTGCATTCAAATTCAACATGTTAGCTCTCGCCCAGTCACAAATCCTATCGAAGTCTTCTTGAAGTATTTCTGTGGCTGATAATAAGTCAGTAGGCAGGAAGGACAGATATATTTGGAAATGTTCCATATGTTTCCGATTTGGCCCAATCCAGATACCTATCCTTCCATACCAACTTCAGAACCATCCGAACCCTCTCGTTTTAAACCTTGCTTCCTCCTCGATCCCTGATAACTCTCCGGGGTGTCTGAAAAGAAGGTGGCATCGTGATCTTGTGTAAATTTATTATTTGAGTGCTATCAGTGGATAGTTTCTCAACAAGCGATTGTTATTATATTCCTGAGTGCACATTTACTAGTTGTATTTTTTGTATAATACAGTTGTAAATATCAATGAATAAGAAAAAAAAAATCTATACTCGCAAGGATAAGAAAATTAATGGCATTGTTTTTTTTTTAAATTACAGCATTCTGCATCGATCAGACTGTAGACAAAAATTGTGCTTTAAACAAAAATCATAATTAACAGTAATAATTTCATTTAACAATAATCGTCAAAAAAGAAGTTGCTTTAGAAAAGTAAGCTAGAAGACAATCTTGCTTTATGTTACATTTTTGGCTGCATGGAAATAATAATAAAACTGAGGTACCATAAACTAGTTGTTAGGTTTTATATGGTGAAAAGAAAAAAAAGTAACTAATTATTCTAAGTTTCACCAATTCAGCCACCATTAAGACAAAAAAAAAAATATAAGATCTTATAAATGCAGACAAATTACAGAACATCTCATACCAATCACCAAAAAAAAAAACATACCAACAAGAGGCAGCATACTCATTCTAATACTAAACACTTATATACTGAATGAATCTATCTGATGAGTCATTTTCAGTCATTTGATATCAAATGAGCATTTACCTGATCTTTTTCTTTTCTTTCCTCTGTTGGTGCCTGAATTGGCAAAACATTGACTGATTAGTTATTCATGGTTTTCTTATAGACTTGAGGCTTTCTTTCGTTTACCATAATAAAAACACTTACTCATACATAACAGTTAAATACATAAAAACATTAATTAATGAAATGACAAATAATAATGAGAAACTTAGGGAAACAATAAGACAATCACATGTTTAAAAAGGGAAAATATACATTATATTATTAAATGTACTACAAATAAAAAAAAATTTATTTTTAAAAAGTCGAATAACAATTTTCTTTTCATAACAATTAAAAATAAAAAACAAATTAAAATAATAAATAATTATTAACCAAAATTTCACTTTGACAGAAAAATACTTAACTGCACCCACATTTCAGTTAAGCATATCCCAAAATAAAATAAGGTTAACTAAAAACAAATATAAATCAACAACAATTTGAATAATTATACTTGATAACAAATAAAAATAAATACAAAATTCAATAAACAACAAATTAAAAATAAAAACAAAAACATTTAAAAGTGAATATTGCTTTAATCTTGCACTATTTTTAAGAAAGACAAGTCAAATCATAAAAACAATAACAATAAAAAACTGTTTGGTGAATTATTATCAATAAAAAGTAGTAAAACAAGTATTTATTTCTCTTCCCTAAAAGTAATACTCTCATGAAATCTTCTTTTCGATTCGTTCGCTCGATGAAATGACTAGGATTGTACAGTACCTAAGTACCAAGGTATAAAGGGAAAACCTAGAAAACAAACAAAACAGTTTGCAGGTAAATAAAACTAAAAAAAAATCATAAAATCCATAGTTAATTGATACATAGGAATAATATTAGTAAAGCTTTCAGAATCCACATATTCAATGCTGAAATTAACAGTCGCTCCCTTTATACCTCTCTCTACATAATCTAATCAAAGCCTAATAACACAAAATTGTACATAAAACAATCCTCTTATCTATATGTTGGTTCACCACACAGATATTAACCAATCAGTTCGGTTTTGATTACTTTTAACATGAGTTTACAGATATTCAAAATATGTTTTAAATCCTTTTAACTAAAATCAATCTTTTTTCATAACCAAAAAAATCTAATTGTAAAGATTTTGACTTGTTCATCTGTGACTGTGTCAGAGAGAGGATTAGAATCATTTACATATCTATTACCTGACACTTAACACTAAGAATATTTGTATTATGAAAATTTCTCTTAATTATTTTTTTTCATTATTCAGCATAATATATCATTTCTCTCCAGTCATAGTATAGTACCCTAATTCAAATTCTTTCTTCTTTAAAAAAAGGGGGTTTTCCTCTTAATTAATTATTTAATTAACAGTAGCCACTTAATAGAGGCTGAGTTTGTCCCAGGAGGGTTTCCTGCCCCAGGGTCGACCCACGGCTGATGAAAAATTACTTTTCATCAGCTGTATTCGAACCTGGGACCTTCAGCTCTGGAAGTTAGTGCTCACCCACTGAGCTACCACACTCCCTGAATAGAGTGGAACACCAAACAGCTACTTGTGCACTTGGAGTCTTCAAGTCTTTCTTGTTATCTTTCCTTAAATGATATTACCTGCATTTTTTTAAATATTCCTAGATCCTCATTCCTTAGAAAATTTTCAAACAAAATCTTAATTATTTGAAATAGGAAAAACTAAATATATTATTTAGTTCATTGTGTCATTTCATAGAACCCATTAGTGTAGCCCAATGTACATTCACAATGTGGAGTTATTTAATTCACTTTAATTGATTAAAAGGCAACTTAAGATTACCTTATCCTATATGTTGTTGTATGTTTCAATCATTAATGAAATGCTAAAATTTTAATTCAAAACAGATGGTTTTACTCACCACAATACTAACACAGAACTTAAGCTTTTCTTATTTTACTTTTGTTATTGCTATGCCATAAAAATGTTTTATTTCAAAACAGATTCTAAGATATCAAATTATTAATCAGAAAATACATACCAAAATAGGATTAATCTTTCTTTTTTGAGTCAGCCTTATCTTCTTTGACAGCACCTCTTCCCAAAACTTTGGCAAGAGAATCCCAAATTCCTCCCAGGAAAAGTGCACAAAAAAGATTTTCAAATGGTACAAAAGGATCATGAATTCCCAGGAGCAATGAAGATAGCTAAATTAAAACAAGAAATAAGAGAAGAAAATAAAGCATAAAATGAAATTAATTATAAAAGCATAAAATTTATATTTATAACAAAGACTTGAAAAAATAGTGACATGTTAAATATTATAATGAGACTTAAAAATACAACTTTAGCTAACCTTGAAATAAACAAAAAAGATGACAATGCCGAAGTAAACCAATGAGTGGGGTGCTGAAATGAGATCTGTCTTCTGATCAAGCACAAAAATAGTTGAAGCAACTATACAAGCTTTAGTTGGGCTAAAAATGATAATAGTAATAAATTATAATATATTATAAGTGTACAAACACAAGATATACTATATAACATATATTTATTATATATATATATATATATATATATATATATATATATATATATATATATACACACTATAAATAAGGAAACTATTTATTTAAGAATATATATTTATTTAATAAAGAAATACTTTATTAAAAATAACAGAACCTTAATAATATAAAACAATATAAAAATATTAGAGGATAGTTTCACTTACAAACTAGGCTGCATAAATTCCATTGCAGTAGGTGTCCAAACACCTCTGATAAGTCTTTCAAAAAGCTTAGTAAAGCCAGCACCATTACCTGCAAAGAAACATTTGGATATTAATTCCATAAATAACCACCTTGAAAAGATTTTAATAATTTTGTTGGGATTACTTGTATTTAGATCATATAAGTGACTATTATCAGGCTCATGTTGATGTATTAAGATAAACTTTATGGACTTAACTAAGCTTTAGATTATTCTAATATCTAATCCTTAAAATTTAAATTAATTCATAAAATTCTCAATGATCCTTATATGACAAATAAAATTCTCTACAATGACTTTAATATGTCCATTTGAAGTAGATTTAGCAAGGTGTACATATATAGCCTTCCATTATAAACTACAAACCCACAAGTTTCTAGCCTTGCTTCCAAAAATCATTATAAAATTTATAAAATCAACAAAAGTTATCTTAATACATTAGCACTCACATTAGAAAATAAGTAATAGAATTACCTTTAAGAGTTCCAATTAGAATCATAATTATGTAGGCATTAGGGTAAAGTTTAGCAGCATGTGTAACTCCATCATACACTTTTTTACACCTAAAAGTGATTTATTATTAATCTTAATTTATTCCTTTTTTCATTAAAAACATTACTGTTACCACCAAAATATTTGGTTTGGAGGAATTTTGAACACACCATTGGAAAGAGCATAAATTTTTCTACTGTAAGACAATATCTTAAGATATTGTCACTGCCAAAGGTTTATAAAAATGCTTTGAAAATGAAAGAAAACGGGAAATTCACAAATTATTACGACATTTCCAGCTAAGTATAGAAATGGCAAAGTCAAATAAAATGTTCCTAATTTAATAACCCTTTAGATATAATTACTAAACTGAAATTAAATGTATTGAAATTTTCTCGAACTTTTATAAGAACAAACTATTTTAGATTAGAACTGTTGTCACTGACGAAGGTGGATTTAATTGCTAAATTGAAGTTATCACAGTTATTAAGGTTTAATTAGTTTGGGTCTAAAGACATTAGCTGATACTGATAAGTAAAAACAAAAGCAGGCAAGAAAATTTGTAGTTTGCTTTTTTATTTTCAACATGCTTTGTTTTGAATGCCTTATAGTGTACAATATCCATCATGTCCTTAGAATAAACCAATGTCGAGCACCCAGACAGGCTTCATATATATGACTTTATTTAAGGCAATAAAAGGGAATCAAATGCATATTTCTAAAAAAAAATTCCACCTTAGCAAACTTTTCAGAGGATGAAACTGGATCTGTAGTTTGGTCTATTTGGGTAGCATCTACTGTCGATGGATATGAAGCAGTTTTAGCAGTGAGAGAATACCAACATAGTCCAGATAGAAGTCGGGCACAAAAAAACCTGTTGTATTGCAAGTTGGAAATCTCAGGATTCTGAGGAACAAATTACTCTCTTTCCATGTCCAAAAAGTTCACAGCTATCTTAAACCTGGACATTTTTCAAGGTGGCATTGAAAGCAGGTTGCAACTTTAGAAACCGAACAAGAAGAACACGTGAGTGCGTCCATGTGTATTAAAAATACCTTGAATAAAGCATACTATTTTGATGAATACTAAGCAGAAGAATAAATTTTTAACCCTTGAGATTCTAAATGAATGAAAACTAGAAATAAAAAGTTAAAAAAGGCTAAAGAAAACAGCACAGATAGCAAAGATTATAAAGAAAATAAAACACAAGAAATGATTCTGATAAGTCAATAATAAAGGTAATGGAAATAAGAAGACAAAAATCAATAGTGCCATAAATAATCAATAATACAGGGTCTCGTCTAATTCTAATCATCAAATAACCAATAAAGTAAAATAACATATATAACATAAATGTCTATATTATAATACAATATGAATATTCAAGATGATCAAAGAGGCTGTCATAATGCCATACACAATTTTCATGTATTTTTCATTTTGTTTCGATAGATATAGTAGGTCTTCATCAAGGCAAACTAAAATCGAAAAATATAAATAAAAGATAATTTTAATTTTTGACGTTTGGTTACATAATTATCCAGAGCTTATTCCATAGAACACGTTCTTACTGATAGCCCATTTGCTAGCTAAAGCTGCTGAAATTTTGATTTACTTCAGTTCTTTTTCAGTAATAGGGTGGAAGATTTTTCAATTTCTTCTTGCAATTTTATGTTTTATTCCGATAGAATACAATAACTATATTTCCAACATCTTTTATGCAACTTGAACTTACTCTTAATAGGTTTAACTTAATTTGTGCGTACAAATGTGAGCCAGTGAATCAAGTACCAGCAAACCAGTAGCCAGCAGATTTTTTAATATGAATTATATTTTAATTTTTTTTGTAGAAATTCTTGAAAATTTTATAGATGTACCAATTCCAGAACAATATTCATAATCTATTCAGAAATTCACATTTTTTTTTATAGTTCAATTAGCTTAAAACTAGACTTCTTTACAGCACTTCTCTCTTTCTCGATAGTCTCATGAGACCTTTTAGTAAGACCATAAATTTTTTTATAAACCAAAGGATATCTGTTCTGAGAATATTTCAAGAGTCAGTGAAGAGTATAATCAATGTATTGGATAATGAGTCATATGTAATCACAGTGGGACTAATAAAATACAATATTATGTTGAGCTGGTCATTGTCAATAAATAATGTTAGATGCAGCAGAAGTTGGATGTTAACAACCTTGCATCTTGAATTGATATCCTGAATTTTTAATAGGTGTTAGCCTGTACATACATACATATATCTTCGGCTCTATAGCCCAGTACGGGCCCTGGCCTCCAGAAGACATTGTTAGCCTGTATATATAATAAAACAAAACAATAAATGAATATAACATAAAAAGAGGAAAATAGATGTGTAGCTTTGATGATTTCAATACATATTCATTCGAAAAAAAAATAAAATAGATATACTTAAAATTGTAGGAACCTTGTGGTAGAATCACAATAAAAATTAGAGTAAACTCATGCAGTTAGTATAAAACTTTTGTTTAATTAAAAAGGAGATTGAAAAACAGAATTGTTTGTTTATTTATCTGGTGTTTAACGTCTTTACGTACTCATACGAAGGCAGGAAGGACAAGTTATCCTACTGCATTACCAACCTATTCTAGCCACAAATAAATACACAATCAATACCAATTTAGTACTTATATAACGAAAGGTTTACCACATATTTTATTGGTTTCAGTAATAACCTATACTAAAATTTTTGTTTTGTTTAATAATATAATTTTTGTATTAAAAGTTCTAAGATTGGTGACATTTTTCTGTTTATATTTTTGTCCTGATGAAAAATGATAAAAAAGACAAATATTTTTAATTTGGGCACTTTAAAAATATCACTCAGTAATAGTCTTTGATATTTAAATTGATAGCTTACTATGCTCACTGAAAAGAGAACAAACTCCCTACAGATTTTTAAAAGCTGAAACAAGAGGAGCCTCACTAAGCAGGGACCCTTGTAGCCAGAGAGCCTGTGGAAAAGAAGGTGTCTTATTTCATACTAAGTTCCGTCCTTATAAATTGACCATATCCACGGGCCTGATAAGAAAAATGCACATCTACCAGCATATAGCCACTGGAATACATAATGGCAGCCAGGTGAAAATAGATTGAGAGATTATATAGATAGAAAACTTATATATAGAAAGGACTTAAATAGATAAAGAAAGCTACCAACCCTTTAAATTTATAGTATTCACTGTCCTAAGACAGGAAATAATAGTCAGTTACCCCATACCCATGGATTTCAAGTCGAAAATTTGAATTTAGGATTCAAAAGTTCACTTTATTCGGTTTTTCGCTTATGCAAGTGGAACTATGCGTTCTTGCAATAATAATGTGCAATGTAAAATTAAAGCTACCAAAATTTGCATTAGAAATGGTTACATTTATTTCTTCGTCATATTCTATAGTTTCTGATATATCTGTTCTCGTAATTCACAACCTTAAATAAAAAATTGTTTTTGCCTCATATTTTTTTAAATATTTGAGTAGATAATTCCTTATCTTTTCATTTTACAAAAAAGGCATAAGGGAAATAGTTATTTAACATTAAATTTCCTTTAAGAATTTATATTACTTTAATATCTTATCATTATACGAAAAGTAAGTTTTTCTGCATAGTATCAGAGTTTAAACATAAAGTTATACAATTGTTCTAGCTCTTGAATGGTTGATGATGAGAGATTAAAGTAATATAAATTCTTAAAGGAAATTTAATGTTAAATAACTATTTCCCTTATGACTTTTTTGTAAAATGAAAAGATAAGGAATTATCGAGTCAAGTATTAAAAAAGAATATGAGACAAAAACGATTTTTTATTTAAGGTTTTGAATTACCAGAAGAGATATCTCAGAAGCTATAGAATATAGGGAAGAAATAAATATAACCATTTCTAATGCAAATTTTTTCAGCTTTAATTTTACATTGCACATTATTATCGCTAGAACACATAGTTCCACTTGTATAAGCGAAAAACCGAATAAAGTGAACTTTTGAATCCTAAATTCAAATTTTCGACTTGAAATCCATGGGTATGGGGTAACTGACTATTATTTCCTGTCTTAGGACAGTGAATACTATAAATTTAAAGGGTTGGTAGCTTTCTTTATCTATTTAAGTCCTTTCTATATATAAGTTTTCTATCTATATAATCTCTCAATCAACAAAAAAGTGAACTTTTTGAATCCTAAATGGGTATGGGATAACTGACTATTATTCCCTGTCTTAGGACAGTAAATAATATAAATTTAATGGGTTGGTAGCTTTCTATATCTATAGTTTTCTAGCCATATAAGGGCTCTATCTATCTTCACCAGGCCGCCATTTTGTATTTCAGCGGTTATACGTTGGCAGACGTGCATTTTTCTCATCAGGCCTGTGGATATGGTCAACTTTTAAGGACAAACCTTAGTATGAAATAAGACACCTTTTTTGCCACGAGCTCCTGCACTATTTTCAATGGAGACAGGTCCATTCCAGTTCATCATCAAGGATGATTTTACAGTTATTTATCTCCATGGTAAAATCATTATCTCAATTGAAAAAAAAGATCTATTGAGGATTTCTTAACTTCTTGAGAGAATATTTCATGCAGCAGTCGACAGTTGTGAAGTCAAAGCATTATTAATTTAAAAACTATAAATAATACTATTGGTATTCAAACAAAAATATATATTATTAAAAATTATTTTTTAAATAAAAGAATAAGAATGAACTAAGAAGGCACCCATTAACATGTTATGGTGTCAGGTCATAGCCAATAATAATAGAACATATGGTCAACTACTTAATACGTAAGTACCACAATACTTTTTGATTATACCAATAATTTGAAAGTAACACAAAAATTGAAACAAAGACAAATCATAAAGTACTGATAATAAGATTAATAACAAAAATCATAGTAAATTAAATTTTACTTTTTATAACTCATAAAATACATTAAGTAAATAAATAACAAATATAATTATGGTTACTGGCTTTGAGTTCTAACCTTCATTTTCATCTAGAATAAAGCTGAAAGGTTATTCTTGACCAACATTCTGTTCTGGAGAGGTCCATTCAACATCTGATATCATGTATCATCTCAAATGATGGTAGTTAAATGTTAAAAGGGGAAAACAAAAAGAAAGAAAAAACAAAAAATTAACCACAACTATAATTATTAATTATGTTATTATTATATATTAGTAGTCAGTTTACCTATATATTTCTTTCATTGTAGCAAAGACTAGTTTTACAGGAAGAAACTTTGAAATCTTGTATCCAATATCAAATGGAGTATAGAATACAACATACCTTCAAAACAGAAAATAACAGAACACAATTATTTTAAAAATAAATAATATTAATTATTGAATGATATTTTTACTTTTATTTAAGTTTTATATGACATTATTCATTTTACAAAACAATTAAATCATTTCAAACAGACAAGCGAAATACATTACAATATAAATATAATTTATTTATTAGTTCAAATTATTAATAATCAAGAGGATGGTATGAGTGGCAGTCAAGAATAATAACAAAAATATTCTTGAAAAGATCAGACAGAAGAGCAGAGAGCTATGTGATCTACACAATTATTCATTTTATTGTGTTAAGGAACTTCAGAACTTCACTAATAAATTATCTTTCAACGTGATATACTATACCATATACAATATATTAAATAAATAATAATTAATACAATATACATATAAATAAGCCTAAATGTTTGTGTATATATATATATATATATATATATATATATATATATATATATATATATTTTTTTTTTCTTTTTTTTTGGTTGGCACAAAGACCATTGAAGATCTTTGGTCGTGAGATGTGGTCTCCTTACAGACGTGTGATACTTGTGGGAGCTCAGATAGCCTGGAGGGGGTCACCCAACCTCATGTTGCTATGAACCATGGTTTCCATAGTGCAGTGGCAGGCTACCCGTAGCTCCATAGCCGATCCCTTTGGGGCCAAGATGGCAATGTCCTTCCCACCGACTTTTTCGGGTTCAAGGACAGTGACAAATCAGTCTAGATCCATGGATTATGGCTGCTCGGAGTCAGCAGGTGCACGAGGACCTATATTTCTTTCCCCGAAACAGACCCTCCATGGATCGAACCTCAGGGGGGCTATTAACATCCTGGTAAACCACATTCCAATTCCTGATTTAAATACACGGGGTAGGGTCATCAGTCCTATGCCCGGTAAATATATATACATGTATATATTGCGTATATATATATATATATATATATTTTTTTTTTTTTTGGTTGGCACAAAGACCATGAAGATCTTTGGCCGCGAGATGTGGTCTCCTTACAGACGTGTGATACTTGTGGGAGCTCAGATAGCCTGGAGGGGGTCACCCAACCTCATGTTGCTATGAACCATGGTTTCCATAGTGCAGTGGCAGGCTACCCGTAGCTCCATAGCCGATCCCTTTGGGGCCAAGATGGCAATGTCCTTCCCACCGACTTTTTCGGGTTCAAGGACAGTGACAAATCAGTCTAGATCCATGGATTATGGCTGCTCGGAGTCAGCAGGTACACGAGGACCTATATTTCTTTCCCCGAAACAGACCCTCCATGGATCGAACCTCAGGGGGGCTATTAACATCCTGGTAAACCACATTCCGATTCCTGATTTAAATACACGGGGTAGGGTCATCAGTCCTATGCCCGGTAAATATATATACATGTATATATTGGGTATATATATATATATATATATATATATATATATATATATATATATATATACTTGTTATATATTAAAATATATATATATATATATATACACACACAAGGGTATGTGAGACCCGTCAGCCTACTGGAGGACACTCACTGCAGGGAGGTGGTGAGCAATCCCTGTGTCTGACAGCTCCTGATCCTTTAGGTTGGGGGTAGGGCATACGGCTAATAACCCAATGCAATAAAAAAAACATAATATTAGCTTTCTTCCCTCTTTTAAGGGTACTTAAATCATTATTTAAAAAATCATTATTTTTAAATTTATCATATTTATAAATAATATGAGTTTTTAGGCAATTATGTTTATTACAATACATCCCATATCACGGAAAAACAAGAAATAAAAGCTTTTTAACAGTTAATTGTAGTCAATTTTGCAAAAAATACGGATACTTTTAGGTGACTGGATAGAAAATCATATCATTTCTTTACACTACTTGAGGTGAATCGCAAAATTTTTTCTAATAAACCTCAACTTAATTAATATGGACATTAAGTTAAAGGGTGATAAAAAAAAAATCACAAATAATTTATGACTTTTTTTTAAACGAAACTTCTCTGATCCATAGTCCTCTTTAAATAGTTTTAACAATGTCAAATTCTACTTGCGTTTAAAGTAAATTTTGTCTAGTTTACTATGGAGCAATGTTTAGTTATTTAAAACAAATAGTTTTTTTTTATCCCTTCCTATTCAACAAAAAAAGTGACTCCCTTAAAAAAACACAAATCTTAAATATCATACTTTTTTGCTGGAAATTGGGCAATTGTTTATATGAACTTTTTTGATCTTAATGCCTACTATCAACCTCTTAAGTAAAGCTTTGCAACAGTTAATTTTGGTCATTTTTGCAGTAAATATGGACACTTTAAGGTGACTGGATAGGAAATCACATCATTTCTTTACACAACTTGAGGTGAATCTCAAAATTTTTCACAATTAACCTCAACTTAATTAATATGAAGCTTACTAAAAGGGAAACTTTTTGTAAAAGTGGGGTAAATGAAGGAAAGTTGAAGGGTGATAAAAAAAAAAAATCACAAATAATTTATGACTTTTTTTAAATGGAACTTAGCTGTGTTTGTCCGCCCCCATACACCTCTTTAGATAGTTTTAACAATGACAAATCCTACTTTCGTTTAAAAGAAATTTGGTCTAGATTACTATGGAGCAATGCTTAATTATTTAAATCAAATATTTAACCTTCAAAATCAGCGCAAAGAGGAGCCTGAATTCTTTTTTTTTAAGTGATTACTGGTGATCAATCGTGGTACTAATGATACGACCCCAAAACAAAGCAGCATTCAAGCCAGTAGAAGACAGCTGGGTCTCATCCTAAAAAAGCTCACCAAGTGAAGTCAAACATCAAGAGAATGCTCATTTGTTTCTTCAATTGATGAGGTATTGTGCAAATGGAGTTCGTTCCCCCAGGTCAATCTGTTAACCGGAAGTTCTACTTGGAGGCTTTGCAAAACTTGAGAAAGAGAACCCAGAAGAAGAGGGCAGGTCTTTGGAGCACAGGTGACTGGTTCTTCCATCATGACAATGCACCAGCCCATATCGCCCTCTCCATAAAGCAGTTTTTGAACAAAAACGGCACAACACCGATTGTCCACCTCCCTCAATTCACCGTATCTAGCCCCCTTTGATTTCTTTTTGTTCCCCAGACTCAAAAGGGACACGTGAAGAAAGTGTTTTGCCAATGTGGAGGAAGCTAAACAAAAATCACTGGAAGGCCTAGAGAACATCCCAATAATTGAATTTAAAAAATGTTTTGGACAATGGAAGGATTGTTTGGAGAGGTGTGTTGAGGTCTAGAGAGAATACTTTAAAGGCGATCAAAATTTGGTGTAAAAATATTAAGAAATAAAGAAGTTATGATGAAATTCTTATACTTTTTAGTTTCCCTCTCATATATATATATATATATATAAAACATTGATATAAAAGAAATAAAGAGCTGATATCTTGCATCTTACAAACAACATTGAATATAGCTCTTCATTTCAATTTATACACTGACAGGCAAAAAATTCCACCCACTTGATTTTTTCATGTTTTCATCTAAAAATATTTCAGCTTTGGATTGGTCTATTGTTTTTAATGAATAAATAGATAATCTTTTTGTTTGTTTTCAATTAGGAATGTTAATATAGAGGACAATAACCCTTAATCCTTAATTCAATGAAATGATTCTAGATTCCAATGTTTACTTTCTATGGAATCAAAATGTTTATTCAGTATCATTAGTTCAGAACCGTTTCTTGCAGCACATTTCTTAGTCTACGGCTTTTAATTTTTTCAATATTAAGTTTAAAAATGCCTCTTAGTGCTGAGGATGTTGCGCGTGGTGTGGCACTTATGGATGATGGACGTTCCATTAGATATGCAGCTAATGCCATCGGAGTTCCATATGAAACTTTACGAGACATCGTCAGGCGTTTTCAGGAAACTGGTTCTTACAATAGGAGGCCCGGTTCTGGACGGCCTAGGGTAACAGAACCACGGGATGACCAGTTTTTGACTTTGAGAATTTTACGAAACCGGCACCTTACCATTGTTCAAGCGATTCATCAACTCGAAGAAGTTCGAGGTGTACAAATTTCTGAACGTACCGCTCGGAGAAGATTAAATGAGTATGGATTAATAGCTTTTCGTCCAGTAAGAGGACCAGAGTTGACCAGAACTCACAGAGTAACACGGCCTGCTTTTGCTCGAGAACACAGCCATTGGACTATGGACGAATGGAGTGCTGTACTTTTTACAGATGAGTCAAGATTCGCTTTTCGATCTCCAGACGGGCGTGAAAGTGTGTGGAGAAGAAGAAACAAAAGATATGCAGCCTGTAATTTTTCCCAGAGCCAACCTTTCCAACGTGGTTCCTTAATGGTGTGGGCTGGGATTTCAATGGAGCACCGCACAGCATTGGTTGTTGTTCGTGGAGGGTCTTTGACGGCCATTCGCTATGTAGATGAGATTTTGAAACCTCATGTGTTGCCTAACCTCAACGAAATCGGCGATCGTTCTATTCTAATGCACGATAATGCACGCCCACATGTCCCCCGCATAGTGCAGACGTTATTTCAACAGAACAATATCGAGGTTTTAGTCTGGCCAGCACGTTCTCCAGATTAGAACCCCATTGAGCATTTATGGGATAACCTCGGAAAACAAATAAGAGCGGGTGCAACACTTCCTGATACACTGCAGGACCTTGAAACGGCTCTTCGGGAGGAATGGGCTATCCTCCAGCAAAGGGACATTTCCCGACTGGTGGAAAGTATGCCGAGGCGTCTTCAAGAAGTAGTGAAGGCAAGAGGAGGAAACACGCGCTACTAAACGATGATGTAATTAATTTCGTTTAGAATAATAATGGTTCGTTTTGGAATCTTGGAAACATTGGAATCTAGAATCATTTCATTGAATTAAGGATTAAGGGTTATTGTCCTCTATATTAACATTCCTAATTGAAAACAAACAAAAAGATTACCTATTTATTCATTAAAAACAATATACCAATCCAAAGCAGAAATATTTTTAGATGAAAACATGAAAAAATCAAGTGGGTGGAATTTTTTGCCTGTCAGTGTACATTTCTCTCTCTACTATAAATGTCAATCTGAACAAGATTTTCACCTTCATTACATCTTATTCTGTGTAGCCATCAAAAAGACCTGAAATGTGGGCTGAAATGTTGAACGTTGGCATTCAATACATACTTTTACTATAGTTGGGGGATTATCATCAGAACCCAGATTTTTATGTAGTAAATCCAGCAGAATATGATATAATAATATGCAATAAAAAACTGTGAAATATACAGTAAAAAAACATTCAATTAATAAAACAAAGTGAAATTGAAACTGACTGTAATGTTCACAAGAGTTAAGAAAGGACGAAGAAAATTAGCAAAATGAAAAAAAATTAATCTTTATCCTAAAAAGTCAATAACTATATGTAGAGTTATTTAATTTATTAATTATTGATTGTTGATTAAAAATGAATCTACGATTGTAATGCGGAATTTCATCTTTAATTTTGCTTTATAATTTTTTTTTTTACTTGTTTGAAACCATCAAATATGCAATATAAAATTCGATTAATTGCATCTAGATATACTGATTTTTAAATACACTTGATCAGTAGTTTAAAAATTGCATGCAAGCAAAATATGCTAGTGCATAAAAATCTGGGCCTTGATTATCATTCGCCACCACCTGGCAAGCATCTTATCATCAGAACTAAAAAAAATTATATTAATACTACGGTAGTACTTTGATTATCTGAATTTCTATACTAAGTATATGAATGTGAATTAGAAAAATAAAGGGATAGTAGTATGCAATGATATTTTTAGGAGATTATCAAATTGCTGGAGAGATGCTTCCGACATCAAAAATAGCAGGATAATTCATTTGAATAAATTATCAAACTTTTTTTGTTTATGCAGAACTGAACTTATTTAAAGCCAAATATAATATAATCTGAAGACAGCATGATTCCAAATCAGCATATAAAAGATATAAACAATGCATGAAATCGCACCTCAATGGTTTTTTCATAGCCTGTCATATTAACTAAGTTTTTGGCTATCTGATCTCTGTCAGACCCAATTACTTGGGATAATCGATGTTCTACAATATTTATATCTTCAATTAAATCAAAAACTATTAGTTCATTGATTAAAATCAAGCCTTAAATACACATTTTTGGTACACAATGCACAAGCTGATTTATTAAAACTTGGTATATATAAAATATAAATAATGATAATAATGGTATGCAACTATAAAAATTGAATAGTTGAATTTACCAAACTGCCGTTGCAACCAAAAGTTGTTGGGTATTTTTTAAAGGAGCCAAAATAGGTTCACCAAGAAGGCCATTACTAAGCATTCCTCCAGCAAAAACAACAAGCATTGTAGACAGCCAACAAGACATGGGATGTTTACGGGAGAATGCTTGAGCACCTAAAATAAATTTAAAAAAGAATTAAAAAATGTATACCATAAACAATACCACAATATATTCAAATTGTATATCTGCAACAAAGAGTAATTAAATAATTACTTTTTTATATATTTATATCAAAATGACAAAAACAAAAATATAGTACGTTATGTGCCATATTAAGAAATAATTTTTTTTTTTTTTTTTTTTAGCAATGTAGATCAGGTTGTGGACAATTATAAACAACATTGAATTTAAAAAAATAATATTACTCTTAAATGTAAATATTTTAGCCACTCGTTATTTACTAATTATCGATATTTCACAATTAATACCATAAAAAATTAGGTTCTTCAATGTAATAATGGGATAAGTCAGAAAAAATGACATCAACAATCTGTTCAATAAAATCATTGTAGTCACAAATTGCATAATTTTAATAATATTTATAATGTATATTTGCCGTGTACTTCATTCTATATTTTTAATTTTTTTTTAATAACCAAAATAATGAAATACATTTGAATATGTTATAATAAAATATATTTATTTCAATATTTCTTTAGTCTTACAGATGTAGTCTAATATTTTTTATTGACACTTATACACCTCTTGTAAACAAATAAATATTTATTTTTATTGACATTGTTTTTTCTCATTTTATTTTTACTTTTTATTAGATAGTATTTGTAAATTAATAAACATTCATTTGAATGAGTAGTTAAAATTGTAATGATAGTAGCTTATTTTAATAATTTAATTATTGTTAGTATTTTCTGAGCTTTTGTCAATATCTTACTTCCTCAGAGTTTTAATAGTTTCAAATGTATACTCCATTAACATCTGAAAATTTTTAATATTAGAACTTTATGACCAACTGTTAATTCTTTGAATAATACTAGTGTCAATATTTATCTTTTATATATATTGTATTTTGTTTATTTGTCACATTGATATTCTTTCATTATGATTTTACTTCACAAGGTTGAATGGGTGTTTATTTTGTTTTAATGGAAATGTTTATTTATTACAGTCTTTTATTTTCATTTATTATTTTATTATATAAATTCTTATTTATTTTTGTTCTGTTTTCTTTTATTTCTATTATTGTACATCTAAATTTATCTCTCAAAATTCCAGTGGTAATCATTGCTGTTGTGGACATGTGAAAAAAGAAGTGTTTATTCTTCTTATCTTTCGATGTAAGTGTATGATACCATGGTATCACATATAGGTGGTTCTAAATCTTACATTAAAGATTTAAACTACGGTGTCATCTTTTATATTGTGTCATTTCGTCAAATATAAAAGTAAAATTAAACAAGATGAAAATTTGAATGTTGAAAAAAATCTAAATAAAGAAATGACCGTACCACTGAAAACATTATTTTGGTTTATGATATTATTTGTTTATTTATGGATCAATGAAAATAAAATTAACTCTCTAATTTGGGTGCTTCAACCCGAAAGCTACAATCTTTAATCTGCCTGTGGTAATTGCTGTTTGTCCTGACATTAGAACTAAATGTACAAATGGAATGGTCTTATGTCATCCCATTATTCGAGACATGTAAAAATAACCTTCAGTTAAATGGTGCAAATTTGATAAGTCACATTATAATGACACATATACCTTTTATATTGATAGATATAAAATTAAGATTAAGGTATATTTATTCTAATGATATAAATATTACTAAAATAAGCATATAGCTCTAAAAGAGACATGTAGGGATTTTGCTATAAATGGAAAAATCCAAATTATAAAGCCATGAGTCTCTAACATACAGGTAAGAGTTAACCTGTCAACATCACCAATTCAGGCATCATCAGGACAGAAATGACAAGACCACATACACGCAGAAAGAAAAAAAAAATATGCTATTGACATCTCACGAAGCTATCCAGATACATACTAAAGGAAAAAGGTTCTATTGACTAAAGAACAACTAAAGAAGGTTAAATTGAAAGGTGACTAGCAGGGATACAAGAAAAAGAAAAATATGCATATCTAAAATATAATAATACAAAATGTGTTAAATTAAATAAAAAAGAACAAATTAATAAAACAAAAGAAAATGCTCGAAGGTGTATATAACATCAATTCCCAATAAAACTCAGTGGATACACGACTATTCCACAAATAATATTACTGAAATAAGCATATAGCTTGAAAAGAGACAAAGTCATTATGCTATAAAAGGAAAATCCAAATTATAAAGTAATGAGCCTCTAACATACAGGTAAAGAAATAACCTGCCAATGTTTCACCAATTCAGGCATCACCATGTTATGTTGGCAGGTTAACTCTTCACCTGTATGTTAAGAGATTCGTGGCTTCATAATTTGGATGTTACTATTTATATGATATAAATATTGCTAATCATAGATTTCTTTTGAAAATAATATTGACATTAAAATCAGGTGCTTTGAATAAACCCAACTCCCATTCAAAAGAAGTAAATACCGATTATTTACAACAATTTTGAAGGAAGAGAATTTCTCAGTGATGCTAAATTTAACATCTTAATAGAATTCTTCGGAAATGGAATATGATAAAGTTTTTACAACAGCTACTATGGAATTCTTTCAAATTTTTTCAGAAATCTTATTAACTTTGAGAACTTGGTAAAATAACGAGCCTGGAAAGAAACAAGGGCCTCTCAATGCATGTTATATATATTACAACCTGACAGAATGTTGGTTTTAGGGAGGAATCAAACCCACTTCACTCCCAATTCAGAGACATTGGCTCTAAAGTGCTCCTCGGCTAGCAAGATGCCCTGGAACATTGATGTGGAAATACCAAAGCATTTCACTTTTGTTTCAGAATGTTCAGTTCAAACTTCTCTAAGAACAAACTTTGTTTCTGTTTATAAAATGTTTTATATTGATTTAACAGTCATTAAATCAAAAATCAAATTATTTATGATGAAAATCATCCAAGCCAACAAAACAAACCTGATAAACATAGGGAAAGATAACCTTTACAATACTATAATTTAGTTAATAATGTTTTCAGAATAATATCGATAACACTTCTTATTTTAATTTTGGGAATTTTCAGGGGTAACTAAGAAAACACATTAATTATGAAGAATATTTATTCCAATAATAATTCAAATTTTGAAAATATAATTATAATATATAATTGGAGGAAATGTTTAGAGAAGGCCAAGATCTGTAACTGGGTAGTAGCATCGTGAAATGAAATAAAATTATAATACATAAAACCTTAAGATTCAAAAACTTGAGTTATATTAATTGTAAATATATGAAAATCCAATAAACATAATCGGAACTTTAAGATAACTGTATTCATTTATAGTATCAAATTGGTTCCATAATTTATAACAGTATTCTTCAAATATCAATTATTCAACATTTAAGTTATTCATAAATGATATATCATGTAGATATTATTTCAGGAAGAAATTTTCTTTTTCATATTCAATAAAATATGAACTGTTTACAATCTAAACTAGAAACTAGAATAAAGATTATTATTTACATCAAAAATATTTTAAAAACATAATTCTATACAATACAGGAAATTTTCATTTCTCAATAAATTAATTACAATTTACTTCAAATCTAAAATAGAAACAAAAATGTAAAAAAAACATTAACAATAAAACAATCACACTTATAAAATAAATAACATAACAAGAGTGTGGATCCGCTCTTATTGATATAAACATTCCCAAAATAATAATTTTAGCATAATCTGAAAAAATAATATATATTTGAAAATGATTTACAAGCTTAAATATATAAAATATATTATTAAATTTTTACTTATTTTTAATCAGAAAATACATTTGTTGAAAGAAGTATTAAATATTAAAGATAAACAGAATGTTTTTTAACCTACCTTCAAAAACAAATATATCCTAAACTGAAATCCTGAAATTGAAACAGTATTCACGGCACAGATTACAGTTAAATTTGTTCACGTAAAAATCCCTACCAGTTGCAGCTCATGGTGTACTCCGCCACTCATAGTAAAGTTGTGTACATTAAAAGTGTTACGAAATGTAATCAGTAAGTAGGCAAAACTCGCTTTGCTTTCTAGAATGCTCTCCATGATGAAAGATGTATAATAGTTTTATTTCAGAATCATAACAAGTTTTAATACAGGTAGCTTGAAGATTTAAATTTTTAATAAGAGTATTCCATTTGTACATTTAGTTGTATTGTCAGGACAAACAGCAATTACCACAGGCAGATTAAAGATTGTGGCTTTCGGGTTGAAGTCCCCAAATTGGAGAGTTAATTTTATTTTCATTGATCCATAAATAAACAAATAATATCATAAACCAAAATAATGTTTTCAGTGGTACGGTCATTTCTTTATTTAGATTTTTTTCTACATTCAAATTTTCATGTTGTTTAATTTTACTTTTATATTTGACGAAATGACACAATATAAAAGATGACACCGTAGTTTAAATCTTTAATGTAAGATTTAGAACCACCTATATGTGATACCATGGTATCATACACTTACATCGAAAGATAAGAAGAATAAACACTTCTTTTTTTCACATGTCCACAACAGCAATGATTACCACTGGAATTTTGAAAGATAAATTTAGATGTACAATAATAGAAATAAAAGAAAACAGAACAAGAGTAAATAAGAATTTATATAATAAAATAATAAATGAAAATAAAAGACTGTAATAAATAAACATTTCCATTAAAACAAAATAAACACCCATTCAACCTTGTGAAGTAAAATCATAATGAAAGAATATCAATGTGACAAATAAACAAAATACAATATATATAAAAGATGAATATTGACGCTAGTATTATTCAAAGAATTAACAGTTGGTCATAAAGTTCTAATATTAAAAATTTTCAGATGTTAATGGAGTATACATGTGAAACTATTAAAACTCTGAGGAAGTAAGATATTGACAAAAGCTCAGAAAACACTAACAATAATTAAATTATTAAAATAAGCTACTATCATTACAATTTTAACTACTCATTCAAATGAATGTTTATTAATTTACAAATACTATCTAATAAAAAGTAAAAATAAAATGAGAAAAAACAATGTCAATAAAAATAAATATTTATTTGTTTACAAGAGGTGTATAAGTGTCAATAAAAAATATTAGACTACATCTGTAAGACTAAAGAAATATTGAAATAAATATATTTTATTATAACATATTCAAATATATTTCATTATTTTGGTTATTAAAAAAAAAATAAAAATATAGAATGAAGTACACGGCAAATATACATTATAAATATTATTAAAATTATGCAATTTGTTACTACAATGATGTATTATATTACTGATTATCTATTAAACAAAACAAAAAACAAATAAGGGAGCTTTGCCAGGAGGGCCCCAGTCGGTTTAAAAATACATCACCCAATCCCAAATACAGGTCTGAACAATTTGGAACACCACAAGGTATCACAAAAAACGCTGAAATATTCCAAATATATAGGTATTCTTGTAAATGACCTATTACCAATAGAATTATTGTAAGATTTAAAGTAACCACAATAAAAGGTCTTATAAACATCATTAAATTTTAAAATTTTAACTTATTTTATGAAGAAATAAAAGTTACAAAAAATTAACAGTATTCAAATAATTACCTGCCCCTAAATCTTCTCTGACGTGAAGAGCACATAATACACTATGTGCAATATCAAAGTATGGGAACATTTTCAACTTCGTAACCTGATTAGCAAGGTCCAAAAACGCCTCTGGATCCATGTTTAAAGTGATGTGTGGTTTTATAAATATTAATTGGAATGAAAAATGATTTGCAACCAAATAGGTGAACACAACTGTCACCCCACACGCACCAGAGAAGACTGCCGGTGTTTTGAAGAAAGGTGGGGGAAATTAACAGACAGATGACAAAATGCAAATACCCTAGTCATAGAGGTAGTTCCAATTTTGAACTTAATATCGAATATATTGATCGTCTGAGGGATATATTGTAACGATTAAGTTTACATTTGTAATATTAATGAAAAGTATTGGCACACCTAACTTTTTTCATGTTTCATTGTGAAAAAAATCCAAAATTGATTAGTTAAACATTTTTATTTAATAAAAGATTTTTAAAAATACATAATTGGGAAATAAATATTTAAATTTACTGAAGTATTGGCACACTTTAATTTGAAGGTTATTTCACGAACTGTATTTGTATTAATATTTTGTCATCATACCATTGGCATCTATGACACCGTGGAATCTTCTTGGCATCGTCATAACAAGATTTTGAGTTAGGTCTAGTCCATTTTACGCTATTTCTCTGACAAAGTTTCTTTTGAATAATTTTTTGAAGTAATTTTATTTTTCTTACTTAAAATCCAAAAGACATAAATTTTCTATGGTATTTATTTCCGGAGACTGTGGTGGCGTTCTCATTGGCTGGACCAATGTACAGCATCCACTTTCCATTCAATTTCTTTTGTTTTATTTGATGTGTGTCTGGCGTCATTGTCCTGTCGGAAGATACATGCATCATTGATCCTCATATTTTCAGCTTTAATTGTTAAATTATGTCGCAAAATGTTGAAATATTGGTTGGCATTCATAATATTGTCAATAAAGATTAAGTTTCCAACACCATTCCATGACATGCTCTCTAAAACGTGGACACTTCCACCTCAATGTCTTACATTGGGCCTCAAATGTCGAGCTTAAAACTCAGGATCAAGTTTCCGCCAAAATTACTCGTCATCATCAGAATGAAATACATTAAACTTACTTTCGTTTAAAGAAATAACATTTTTCCAGAATTCGAAGTCTTTATTAACTTCTGTTTTGGCCAACTCATGTCTTTTTTTTTTGCGGTTTACCTCTGTCATAAAAGCTTTTTTTTCCTTTGGAACCTGCCATAATAATTGTATATATGAATTATATTTATAACAGAAGGTGGTTTTAGAAGTAGATAGACCAGCCTAGGATCAAAACAAGAGCTCCTCTAAAAACGGAAAAGAAAAAGAGAATCAAAACTTTTAAATACAGAGAAGCGGAATCAACAAATCAATGCCAGGAAGGGGTTGACAAGTTAATTAAAGAGATTAAAGCTCAATGGGATTAGGAAAATATCGAAAATTGATGGTCTGTATTCTGCAAGATTGTTCTCCCTGCGGCGAGCAGCACCTGTGGGTATGAAGGAACGAACGGTCTTACTAGGAGACCACCGTGGTGGTCAAAGAAACTGAAGAAGAAAATAAAGCGGGAAAAGGATGTACGGAAGCATTACCATGCCGCAAAAGACAAAACAAAAAAACAGTGGCTTAAAATTCTTATAAAAATTAAAGAAATTCGTGAAGGTAGCAGTAACCCAGGCAAAGAGGAAGGTATGGGAGGAATTTAGATAGAAATTAGAAATTAATTTCAAAGAAAACCAAAAACGCTTCTATAGAGTGCTAAAATCCATCTGAAAGGAAGCCAGTCCTAAAATTCATCAAGGACAGAAATGGAAAACTTTTCAACAAAAGCAAAAATATGATGGGCCGGAAAGAATACTTCCAAGAACTACTTGGTGGAATTGACGATAAGACCATTGGTGGCAACCAAAATACGAGAGAATCTGGGAGGATAATGTTATAGATGAAGAAGAGTTGGATGAAGCACTACAAAATATGAAGTTGGGAAAAGCAGATGGTGTATCACTTGAAATGCTCAGATACATGGGAGAACATGGAGAGAAAGTTATTTTCTTTCTTATTAAACTAATTTGGAGGGGGGAAAGGGATACCAAAGATTGGGAAGTTTCCACTATTGTTCCGATATAGAAGAAAGAAGATAAAAGAACGTGCGAAAATCGTAGAGGAATTTCTCTACTAAGTGTCCTGTTGCGGCCAACACAGGTTATAAGTATTTTTTTTATTTTCTATAAAAATATCTATATAGAAAAACATTTTATCTGTATGTAGCCATATCATAATTATTAAATGTACTGATGCGCCATAGCGATGAAATTATCGACTGCTTCCGGGACAGCTCGTCTCTCACCGATGTCACATGACACAAAAAAGTAGCAAAAGACAGTAGGTATGGCGTATAATGAGGCATGGTTTATGTTGAGGGAATAACCCTCTTGAGTGACAGTTGTTATAAAACATATGCTGTATTACGTTTTCTTGTGTTAGGTTTAGATTTTTTATATTTATAATGTATATAGTGCTAAAAAAAAAATAAAATTTTCTTTTCTGTGCAAATATTATTAAAGCTTAAAATTAACATGGTAACAGGTCAGAATTAAGCTAACTCATTGCGATGCCTATTCTACCGATTCCAAGTGCGTTAGATCTCTGGGATCCCGACCAAAAAAGTGAAAACTGCCCAGTTTTCAACACCGAACAAAAAAGTCAGTGAGAGAACTATCAGATTCCACTTGATGCCGGTAGCAAGAAAGGTACGTACTTCCTTCTCTCAAGGTACTACTCAAGCAAAAAGGTACGCGTCATTTATATCGCTACTGGGCACTGAAGGCTTGAAGCTTTTGATAAGAAAACAGTCATGTTGAAGCTTGGTCATGAGAGAAAACAGTAGAAAATATTATTAAGACATTAGGTAAGCATTTTGATCTTCCACAAAACATTATATATGAGCGCTTCGTCTTTAATAATATGAGACAAGCGGAGGTTGAGTCCTTGAGAGCATTTATCGATAGGCTAAAAAATCAAGTGTGAAAATGTGGTTTCGGAGGTTGGTAACACGGAGCAAATGGATATAGTGGAGTCGCTAATCAGGGATAGGTTAGTGGCTAGGCTAAGAGAAATTAACCTTAGAAAACGCTTACTTGTTGAAACAAAGCTGAGCCTATCGCAAGCGATGAACAACTGCGTTACCGACGAGCTGGCTAGCAGGTGCGCCGATCAGATCACGGATGGAGGAAACATAAGTGACAAGGATGTATATGTCACCAAGAAGATGGGTGGGAAAAAATCTGTTACGATGCACTGTAAGTTATGTGGACCAGAACACGGTAAGGGTTGTGGTAACTGTCCAACGTTTGGGAAGATTTGCAGTTTCTATAAAGGAAATAACCATTTCAGAGGGGTCTCTTTTAAGCAGAAGGTTCGGAGCGTGACCGACGAAGCAACGGGTAGTGAAGGGTCAGATGAGGAGAATGCGGTGGAGCCAGTTTACTCTTAAGGCAAACGACGGCTGTTTGCCTTAAGAGTAAACTGCGAAAAAAAAAACAACGAATAAATTGCGAATATCCATCGATCCTCATACTTAAACAAGGCCACTAAGACACCTCATTAACATTCTCCTACATTAGATGAACTCCTTCCCCAGTTCGAGGACGCTCGAGTCTTTAGCATGTTGAATTTGAAAGACGGATTCTGGCAAACAAAGCTTACGGATGAGAGGAGCCAGCTTACTACCTTCTGGACGCCTTAGGGTTGATACTGTTGGACCAGGTTGCGGTTCGGTGTAGACATAGGACCTGAGGAATTTCAAAGGCGGGTGCATAAGGGGATTGAGAGCTTAGATGGAGTGTTTGCTATCGCAGATATTCTCGAAATTGGAAAAGGAAGAAATACAGCTGAAGTAATGTCTGATCACTATAAAAAACTGAAAAAATAGTTACTAAGAGACGGAGAAAAAGATTTCAAGTTTAATAAGCAAAAATGTCGCTTTAGGCTTTCAGAAATAACTTTCATGGGACATCTAATAACAGATAAGGGTATGAAGCCTGATATGAACAAAATAGCATTCAAAACTTGAAGGCTCCTAAAACAAAGGAAAAATTACTTTAAATCTCTGGGATTTATCAACTATCTTGGAATCGCATTGGATTTGGGAAAGCCCACAGGAAATCGCTTTCCAAGAACTGATTTACTTGGCAACATATTTTTTTTTTTTTTTTTATTCCTCCTACCTGGCCATTTCTGGCATACGGGGTTCGGTGACAGTAGTTAGTGCCCATGGGATTTGCGCATGCTACTGCTACCAATAACTTCTTTTTATTTTATTCAATCATCTTTTATACTTTTATTTGCACATACTTTCAGGATAGTTTATTTCTTAGGATACAATGCTAGATAACATGTGGTGCAGTCCAGCGTGCGGTTGCGCGCCTTATAATGGGGCTGTACCTTGTCTTCCTCCTTGGTCCACCACCTGGGTATCTCCCCAGCCAGCATTTGCACCGCTTCATGCGATATTGTCCTATATCCTTTTGTGACTCTCGGTAAAGCCAGTCTCTGAATGGTTGCCAATATTCCTTTTTGCTCTTTCGTCAGTCGGCGGCTCCACGTAGTCGATGCGTACCTCATGATTCCCAGGACAACTCGTTTATAAACCGTCCTGGTTGCTGGATACTTGATCCCCTAGAATGCACTTACTATCCTAGAGAGGCCATTTAGTGTGTTGGTCACCCTACCTCTGAGGTACGCAACGTGTGAGCTGGGGTCGAAAGCTCTTCCGAACCTCACCCCAAGGTACATGACCTCCTCACACGCGCGCACCCTCATTCCTCCTACATTTAGGTTGATTGGGTGGGTTCTGTCTGTCTTGCTCTTCAGGAGCATCACCTTCGTCTTATCGGCCGCCATCCTCTGCTTCTTTCTCTCACCACTCCTCCACCAAGGTGGCCACTCTTTCGGCTTCTATCTTAAATCTAGCCCTACGATCCGCCATTTCCAGAACCTCTAGGTCATCCACGTATGCAATGGCTCGGTACCCCTTTCCATCTATCTCGCTAAGCAACTGATCGAATACAAGTTTCCACAGTGGTGGCCCAAGTACCGAGCCCTCTTTCAATCCCACTTTCGACCTTAAAGGAACTACCTCGAATCCTTGCCCTTCCATGTTTGAGGTAACA